AAATTCTTTAAAGCTAGACCGGTGCAATTTTCAGTCAAACCGCAAGTGGAGCAAGAGCTAAAAGGCTTGAAAAGGAAGGAATAATTTCAAAGGTCGACACAAGTGAATGGGCATCACAAATTGTCCCCGTTAGGAAATCAAATGGTACAATTCGTATATGTGGAGATTTCAAAACCACCGTGAATTCTATGCTTAATGTGGATCAGTACCCGCTTCCGCGGACCGACGAGATATTCTCTACTCTCATAGGAGGACAGAAATACACGAAACTTCATCTTCGAAATGCATATTTACATATGGAGGTAGACGATGAGTCAAAACCATTGATGACAATCAATACACACAAAGGACTGTATCGTTATAATAGGATGTTATTCGGAATTGCGTCAGCCCCAGCTATATGGCAAAGAGAATTGGATCAGATATTAAATGAACTTGATAGTGTACAATGCATGTTGGACGACATGATAATAATGGGCCCTGATGACGAAACACACCTACAAAACTTGAAAAATGCGTTACAGAGACTTCAGAACTATGGTTAAAGAGCAAACTTGCAGAAATGTTCTTTCCTCAAGGACAAAGTCATATACTGCGGACATGAAATTAGTGCAGATGGACTGAGGAAAACTACAGACAAAGTACAGGCTGTAATGGAAACTCCGACTCCGAAAAATGTCAAGGATGTACGTGCATTCTTAGGACTGATAAATCATTATCACAGATTTATGCCTAATTCAGCAACTGTACTGAAACCATTGAATCAACTGCTAGAAAAAAGAGCGAATATGGCGCTGGACAGACGATTGTGGAAATGCGTTCAAAAAGACAAAGGAGCTTATTACGTCAGACCAAGTGTTAACACACAACAACCCCGAATTACCAGTCCGTTTAGCGTGTGATGCTTTGCCATTCGGACTTGGGGCAGTGTTATCTCACGTTATGGTGGATGGATCGGAAAGACCAATTTTTTTCGCATCGAGGAGTCTTAAAAAAATCCAAATTCATTTGAAAAATAAATGTTAAATTACAGAATTTGTCTAGATATGCCTTAACCTATGTGATAATCTCATGTTAAATAAAAAAGAAATCATACATGAACATTATTTTGTTTAGCTCATCGTTGTATTTATATATATCATTTATGTCATACGGACGTAGTAAACTAAATACATTTAAGGTTTTGCGATATTTGGCGACATCGTTTAATTGTCATATTCAACTTCAAACAGTAACCAAAGATCAGAATGCAACAGACATGAATCTGAAAAATAAATTCAAAACCATCCGCACCTATACAACAACAAGGGATTGAAGGATGGTCAAAATTTATATCTAGCAAACACAATTGTCGACAAGCTTCTTGACAAACCAAATATAAAAGAAATCACACTTTACAAAATGCTACGTCATCAACATCAATATATGAGGTCTTCTATCTAAAATATAGTACACACCACATCGAAATAATATAGCAAAACATCAGAACAAACAAAAACAATAATGCTAAACGTTCATCAGAGCAGTACTAATAACAAAACAACTAACAAAAAGCCAAAAGACACAAAGTACCGACGTAGGAGTTTTGGTAAAGAGGGCCAATGTAAAGCTCTATTTCAACAAATAAACAAACAACGTTTTTTCAGACAGAAATATCAATCAGTATATCTCCAACGGATTAAACATAATGACGTAATAAGCAATCCGAGAAAGCATCGACAGGATGTAAGACCATAAGAGTAAAAATCCTGTTTATAATAAGATTTCAACAAGAACAGCCAAACTTTTAAACCATATCTTTGTTTTTATTATAAGAAAAACTTAATAAATTGTAGTAACGAAATCTCTGACTGAAACTGCGATTCACTCAGTTCTTGTTCGTTTTTTTGGTTTGTTTATTCTTAATCGATGTACGAGATTTGAACAACGGAAAACTCCTTTCGCCTAAATTAATTATTTTATCAGTTATACGTAGATTTGCTTTTCAATGACATCTTAATTCATGTAAGTGGTTTATCAATAAATTTCCTAACTTTAATATAACGGGACCGATGTCATACTTATTACTTCTTATCGGTGTTCCCACTGTCTATCCCTTTGCTCAGCTCCTCAAAAAATGAATATCACGGTTTTGTGACGTCAAATACGTTAACCCGGCGTAAATAACTTTGACCTTGACATATCACCGACGTTACTAGTATAATGAATGAACCAACATTGATAAGTTTGACATAAACTTATCAAGTCATCGTATACGGTTTACTGGTGAAACAACGAAAACACTTGTTTCTATCGTGAAAAATACACAAATACAATCTGACATAAACTTATCAAGTCATCGTACGGTTTACTGGTGAAACAATGAAAACACTATCGTGAAAAATACACAAATACAATCTGACATAAACTTATCAAGTCATCGTACGGTTTACTGGTGAAACAATGAAAATACTATCGTGAAAAATACACAAATACAATCTGATAAATGAATCATCAGATTTTCATCATATTTATATAGTAAAATATCACTGCTCGACACATTAGAAAGCCTTTTTGCTGCGCTCACTCGACAAAAATATTCACATTTTGCTTCGCTCACTCGACAAAAAGCTTCATATTATCACTGGCAACAGATATTTCACAATTTCAATATGCAGGCAACATGATAATCGGTACATCCATTTGATTTGTTGGTGAAATAGTACTTTAATTGAAATAGAAAATGACCTTTTTAATGTTATCTCACTGGAATCTCAAACCTAATAACTTGAAAGAGCTTTCGTGTCAACTCTTTTATCGATACTCAAATCTTGTAAGTCAATTATTGACAATGTTCTGCCTATGAAAAGTAAGTAGAACTTAGTAAAAATCTTATTTTTATATCTCCCTGATACTGACTTGATTAAACTACGCTTCCTTTGTCTTTTGCTTTTTTCTGTATTATTATTATTATCTCATTTGTTTATTTTTCTGATTATTTGTTTGTGCAAACTTTCAAGAAGGAGCTAACTGAGAATATTTTCTAAATTGTCCTCTAATATAATATAGGAGTCAGTATTGAGGGCTACAGGGCAGTCATTGGTTTATTACGTCGTACATGAAGCAACTGGAATTCTTTTAACATTCTTAAACTATACATCAACTATTACCCATAGAGTATTGAATTATTCTCGTTTTAGAACATTTGAAGTTAATAAGTGATGGTAAGTTTACTGTAATCTTTCTTAATCAATGATGTCGAGTTTTTAGTCAGTTGTGTTGTACACAAATGTATGTCTGTGATGTATGTTTACACAGTTTTGACTGCTGGATCCCAATTATTGTCACATTGAACTATTATGTCTATTTGAGTTTATTACCCAACTTTGTCAATATAACTGTCATACAATTGAGAGGTTGTAGGTTTAGCTAGCTTCAAAACCAGTTTAAGCCACCATTTTCTTCGAAAGATGCCTATACCAAGTCAGGAATATGGCAGTTGTTTTTCACTTGTTCCGTTGATTGATAGCGTTTGATTTTGTCAGTATTTATGGACTTTTTCTTTTAGAATTTGCCTTGGAGTTAAATTTTTGTTATACTTTTTTCTGTATAAATCTTTACATAGAACTGAAATATCGAAGATTAATAAACCCATTTTTCAACTTTACATTAGTCAGTGTCACTGCATCTATGCACGGACTTAACATTAGTGAAATAATAACCTACATATAATCCTTTATAAATATCTGGCGACAGCATGTGTTACTTCTGCTTTATTTATTTATTCATCACGTATATTTATTAACTAATCATATAGTCTGATTAGTTTAGTGCAGAATAAATGCACCTGAAAAAAATAATTACTTTGAAGATAAAGACAGAATTTTTTCGTGTTTTTAATACTAAATAGAGAGTATTATTAATGGAAATATGATATTATATTATATATTATTCTTATTATTTATTATGAAATATGAGTCAAAGATTTGTTCCAATTTTTCAAGTCTGCTGAAATTACTGTAATTAGTCTCGTTATTACTTGTACAAATGCTGATAATATAACTTTTGCAATGAACTGAAATGCATAAACAACATAATTTGTTATAATCCCTGTATGCAGAATGTATTAGCTATATTTAAAACCAATTTAAACTAAATTGCCATGTTTTGTATTACTCATATGTATGTGTTATACTTATCATTATTGCATTTCTAAATGTCCTGTTAAACGACGAACACTAAATATAGTTTAATCGTATTTTAAACTATGCATGCATTAATACCTAATTTGTTTTCAGGCCGATGTTGAGTTTTTTTGTGTTTTGCGTCTTTTTACAGACATGTTTTAAAGGTTTTAGATAAACAAAATAAACACAAACAATATTTACGAAATCTTTTGAAAATAGTAAAAATAGGATTATGAATGAGACATTTAATGATCTGCTTACCCTTATGGAGCGTCTGAGTTCACATCAAATTTTTGTTTGGGCTCGCGTTGCTCAGTTTTCTTTGTTGTGTTTTGTGTACTTTTGGTCGTTTTTTTTTCAATGACTTATGAGTTTGAATATCTTTTTTATATCTTTCGCCATTCTTTCTCTTTTTTAACAATCAGTCTTATAGTCTTCAAATCCTGAATCATAATTTTGATGATAGGTTCCAGTTAGGTCAAAGTAAAAACCTTAAATACTGATTTGAAGTTTAGTAGATTAAATTATTCAGCAAGTATAAAACAAAAATTATTAACAAATGTCAAACTATTTGGAATATTAAGTATAGTGATTTATTGTTCTTCTCTTTCTTGTTGGCTGGTAGGTTTGAAAATTCAACTTGACATAAAACAAATAATAATACAGACATGGCATTAATATTCTTAGCAATTTCACAATTCTTGTTAAATTAGTTTTTGACATATGTGTGGTGTTGTAAAATATTTTGATCCTATTTTAAAACAGTTCTTGCAAATTCTTGCATGTAATACGCGACACATCTGTCTGAAAAATCGAACTGGCTTTCATACTTAAAGCAACTTCAGCTGGCAAGAATGCACCATACTTGTCAAAATGAAAGCCACCATGATACTAGCAGTCTTAGTGATAGCCACAATGTGCGGAGCAGGTAAGCTCTATGTTTTAAACATGTTCTATGTTTCACATCGGTCATTTATGAATTCGCCATTTAGGGATCTAAAGGATAATTGGTCATCTCATTGTTCGTATACCAAATGAAAAATAAGATAAACACCATTGGTTACATATCCTTTATCTGTGACTAATTAATCAATCAAAGTTGTTTGGTGTCCATTGAATCTTTATCCAAACTGCATTACATTCTTAAACTGTCTCGGTTCTTATTCATTCTTGGCTGTTAAAAATTCGGCTTTGAGTATTCATGATGAAGATAAATCCAGAAAAGCTCTCGGACGAATGCAATTTATAAAAAGTTGATTCATTTTATACTGTATCTCAGTGTTGACTTAGAAGCATCATCGCCGTAGGTATTAAATTTAGCCTTAGATATTATAGAATTGGACAAGGATTTCAACTCTTGCACTTACATTGAATGAAACAGAAGAAAATGTTTATCATAATACCTCATATTTCGATTTTGTTTCCATGGTCTTATTTTGAATCATTGCAAATTATTTATATTTTGGATTTATGAAACTTTCTGAAATTTCTCTTTTATAAACGAAGACTCATTAAAATGTAATGTCTTAAGTTTACATACATAAACATTCATAAACACTGTATAAATAAGAAATATACATTTGTAAAATAACAAAAGATTGTCTCTTATTTTGATAAATACTGTTAAAACTTAGCCCATTGCCCATTATTTTATTTGTTCTTGTATTCATCATCTACTTTGAAAGTAATTAGCAAAATTGATTTTGACGTAACAGAAACAATGTAGGTACAATGTATAAGAAATATGATCTTAAAAGTCTATTTTTTAAGTCGACAATTCTTGTTTTATATTTAGAACTAAAAAAGGATTTATGATTGTTTTTTTTTAGTAAAGAAGCTCAATTTAGTGAACATGAATTAATACAATACAATTGTTACACGAACCCGTCTTTTGTTTCTGGTATAACTGTTTTGACATAAAATTCTTAAAGCTGATAATCTTTTGATTTGATATATTGAGTTTAATATTAAACAAAAGTTTTTACTTTTTTTATTGACTTAATTTATTGAGCCAAATAAAAAAAAAAAAAAAAAAAAAAAAAAAAAAAAGAAACAAATGAATTAAACACATATGCCTGTTTATGGACCATACAATCATCAGATCCATTTCGTGTTAGTGAGATGACTCTTTGGCCCACAAACTTCAATATGGCCCGAAGCAACAAGAATTATGCGTTATATCATATCCAAAAAATAATGTTCAAATATGACAGTAGGTTGTATTTACTATGAATCATACATCTATTATAGATACCCATGAAATTTTCAACATTATATTCCAACTTCACAAATTGTTACACTTTTCTGTTTTGGACAAAATGACAGATGATTAAAATGTTAAATATCATCAAGTATTGTTATTCAAAATGTAATTGGATGACAATCATTTATCATTCTTTATCATAAAATAAGGTCAAATTCCCGATAGAACCCCACTCCTTTTTTATTGAAAGATAATCATTATATTATAGAATCAATTAAGAATAATGATAACACAATGTTGACCGCTGTACCCTTATTGTTGACATTTTTACCTATTGTGTCTGTTTGTTTTGTTCACGCATCGTTGTCAATATAATGGAATTCGATGCGACTGTCATACAAGTGAGAGGTTTAGCTAGCTATAAACAAGGTTTAGTCCACCATTTTCTACATAAGAAAATGCCTGTACCAAGTCAGGAATATGACAGTTATTATCCATTCGTTTGATGTGTTTGAGCTTTTAATTTTGCCATTTGATTAGGGACTTTCCTTTTTTTAATTTTACTCGGAGTTCAGTATTTTTGTGATTTTACTTTTTAGATATACAACATTATACTTTCACTTATATCTAATACTATCAATTTTCTAGAAATTTAATTTTGAAATACGTTCTTTTTTGTTTAAAAATGTTTTTGTTCACATCATGACGTCACGATGTTATATACATTTTTTTTTGTTTGATTATTGGTCTGCTGTCCCAGTATATATACAACTTATGTTATGGTCTTACTGATGTTAATAGTTCAGTATAAACAATATAAATGAAGATTAATATTTCCTTTTATTTTTATCTAGGTATCTTCTTTAAAATGACAGAAACGCTTTGTCGGTTTTTTATTTAAGCAAAGTTTTAGTTATCTTTTCGAATACGCTTATTTTATTGCGGAAAAAGTCAACACTTCGTTTTTCTTTTCTTTCTATTATGTCTATTTTTAGGTTGTGATCAAACAATCAATCAAAAGTCCTATATTATTCCGATTCAAGCAAATATATGATGTTTAAATGCATTTGAAAAGAGGTATTTTTCATTCCAAACATTACGGGTCATATCCACATGTATGGAGCACAATGTGTTTTTGTATATAGAATTTCTGAAACGTATAGGAAATTGGGAAAATATCGTGTGCTGTCGGAAATTACCCAATTATCATTTCTTAATTCTATATAGCATTGTCTTTTCGTCGATTTTTCAATATTAGTTTTATCTTACAGGCCAAGCTGGTGGGTATTCTGGCAAAAGTTGTTACCAAAATGGAGGTTATTGCACTCATTACACTTGTGATTATAAAGGATACATTTGCGACAGCACGAATAAATACTCCGATTGTCCTAATATCAAATGTTGCCTTCCTGGTAAGTTCTAATATTAGTATATAATTACATTGCATGTATGCTCCATTATAATCCGTTATTTTGATTGGCTGAAAACAATCGACAGGCACTTCAATATTATATTTCATTTCCGTGTTAAACACAACAGCTGTGACTGAACGTGCTATCCGTGTCAATGTTAAAATAATGCATAGAAAAACAAACGAAAATCTCATACAATTCAAAGTTTCATGGTTGTATCATAGAATGTAATAATGGGAATAAGTTGCTTTTTTATAATTTTAAAGGGTTGTAAAAGCGTTGATCGTGTGCACATTGTTAGCCAGAAAGCGGAAATGCAAAATGTGTATCGGTCAACGCTTTCATAGCACAATAGAAATTAAAAAGGAGATTAAAAAGTATTCGATTCTTAAACATAAGTATATCAACGATCTGATAAAGGAAGAGACTATACCAAGATGGCAATCAAACACCAAAAGTTCAAGAAAGGGATACCAACATATTGACTAAAGTAAAATCAAAGTCCATAAAATTTCAAAAAAGGACAACATAAATATTAGAAATACAAAAACCTAGCATATAACAGATATGATAAGTAGTTCTCGCTCCGCTAGATTTCTGTCATTTTTAACAAAGTCGAAAATTCTTTTTCTATATTACAGCACATGGACTTGAGTGTGTAGGTAAAATTAGAATCTTTAGTTTGCTTGCTTGTTAGCCGAACCATATATTCCTTATTAGCTAAGTAAATCCTTCCTTTGGGCGGAGTCAATATTTCAACAGAGAACCAATCAAAAATAGGGACAGTGTATAAACATTGTGAAATGTGTTTTACAAGTCAGTTTAAAAATATGCTTTCATTCTAAATCTAAGATTATACGCTAAATCACAAGCATGTTTTAGGTGTGTTTGATTTGTCAATATCATTTCAATCAATGGATTGTTCAATCATAACTAGATTATTTATAAGTGTAATTTTGTACTGTAAGCAGTAGTTTATAATGAGTTAATCGATTTATTCAACAAAAAAACATGTCATACCTTATAATATATGTTTATATATATAATAAGAATCTTATTATCTTTTAATTTGTTATAAATGAACAGACGTCTGCGGTAATTGATTGAAATGAAAAATTGACAAATCAAACAGACCTTAACCATGCTTGTAAATTAGCTTATAATTGACAATAGATTTAAAATTTAGATTGAAATACTATTTTTAAACTAACTTGTAAAACTGGTTTCACTATGTTTATATACTGTCAGCACGTTTGATTGGTTCTCTCAGAGACATATAATACAATATTATATGTCTCTGGTTCTCTGCTATTGACTCCGCCCAAAGGGATGTGATAACTTAGCTAATAATTATTTCATGGTTCAGCTAGCAAGCAAGCCAACCAAAGATTCTACCTTTACATACACACTCAACTTCATGTGCTGTAAAAAGGGCGTCATGTTTGAAGGTTATGTTACTACGTACTATGTTTTGTGTATACGATTCATGTGCATGAAGACCGATTTCATTAGCTTATTCAGCCCGCAAAATATTATCCTTATACAAATGAAAGGTATGAATTAAAATCAAACAGAGCTAGGAAAATTGTCATCATAATATTGCACGTCTTTACTACATGAATCCTTGTCTATTTATATATGTATATTTATTTTGTTGTCAAATGCCTATCGGCAATATCTAGTTAGAAGTTTATTTTTCAATTAATTAGATTGCGTTTAGAATGTTCTGTTGTTCCGTTGTTTTCCTCTTAAAGTGGATGTGTTTTAGTTTGTAACCCGGATTTGTTTCTTTTATTCGATTTATGACTTTGAACAGCGGTATACTACTTTTGCCTTTATTTAGAATCTTGTTTATTGATTCATATTGAACCTTTTTGAATTCTAATATTTGTTTTACTATTATTTAGATCTAATTTGAGATTTTTTCTTGAACAACTGAATACAACAAACGCCATTCTCTCGGTTTTCGCTGTCTAAGATATCTAATATAAGTATAGTCGTGTGATCTGCACATTTACCGATTGGGCCATGTTCCCGATGATGACACTGATTGTGGATAAGCATGGTGCATTTTGAATGCAAAGCAGGCGGACTTATAAACTGTCGACATACTCAGTTCCGCGCCTTTTTCTAGTTCATAGGATTCCCTCCGTATTTGTTTGTTGCCTTGGTTTGTTTCTCCGTAATCAATTTAGGAGGTTTGAACATCGGTAAAATAATGTCGCCTTAACTTAGAAATAGATTTTCAAGATCAATGAAAATATTTTAAATAGATATTGTCATACATTTTAAGTCTTGTCAAGAAAAAGATAGGTGTTACTTGAATTAAAATCAATCAAAATACATGGAGTAAATGTAAACTTTTTCAAACTGACAACTGACAGCAATTCAATTTAGAATGATTGACAAAAATAAACAAACAAAAGAAAACCAATAAAAAAGCAATTGACCCCCTCCCCCCAACTTCACCATTAAAAACGTATTCAGATATCAGACATAAGTCTGTCAGATAACAATTTTTATATCTGGAAATTTTGACTGACAATTTTTTTAGGGATTCAAAATTCTTAAATTCAAAGCAAAACCATAAAATATGAAAGACATAGCTATAGTTCATATTATTTCATAATTATTGTTATCAAAATGTAATTATAATTGATATTTCATTCGGTCGGTCATTTTAGGTCAAATCTGGTAATGTTGCCTTGTTTATACCAACACAAGTGACGTTGCTGCAGGAAAACAAACAAACGGATAGAACAAATTTACTATGCTTACAATTTCTAGGGTGAAATAATGGTTCATATCATCCCTGCAGCTTTCCCATAAAACTTGGTTTGCAATCTTCATGAGACCCAACTCATTGAGAAATTGATAAAATTGTCAGATTAAAACGGCCGATCACAAAACAAAATAAAAAAATAAAATGCGAAGTTAATATTCATCGATTAAAACCAGAAAACATAATTTCAAAAGGAAAAATTGCGACAAAAATAAACATTTATGTTTCTAACTCATCAATTTGTCATACAATCAACGAATCTTAGACGGCACTATATTTGAATGAATTCTTACTTACAAAAATGGTTAAACTTTACACTCGATGCAGCCATAGGAAACTGATACTCGATGTATGGAAGACAAAATATATTGTGTGCGCTTTTGAAATTTAATAAAGTTTTCTCAACTTTCTTAATTTAGACGTTTTCTTATAGATCCACATTACATTAAGCAAAAACCAATTGCAAGAAGTTACGGTAACAAAGGATACTGCAGCAATTTTAACAGTTGCCGTGCTGGCTACTACTTTTATAGCATGAGAGCATATCATTGTAATTCTTATAAAGGATGTTGTATCCCTCGTAAGTATTATAATTATTATATATGAATAAGAAGATGTCGTATGGGTTCCATTGAAATAACTCCCCATCCAAGTCACAATGTGTAAAAAGTAATATTACCACTTTGCCTGTCAGGAATATGACAGTTTTTTTCCATTCGTTTGATGTGTTTAAGCTTTTGATTTTGCCAATTGTTAAGGGACTTTCCATTTTGAATTTTCCTTAGAGTTCCGCATTTTTGTTGTTTGATTTTTTGCCAGTTTGAACCATTGCACAAAAAAGTTAATGTCGCAATATATTTTTGTAAACCTATCAATATGTTTAACCTATACTCTGCAGCAAACAAAATCAGAACAACGCATTGTACACACGGCGGTTATCGTATACCTGGTATTCCTAAGTGCGATAATTCTAATTGGTATCGTAAGAAATGTCTATGATTAGCCAATGCAAGGAGTTGATTTTGGTTACTTTTCGTTGGCAAGGATTATTCAGCCAAAAGCTCATCAGAGTTTGATATGAAATAACGTTACTGAATGGTGTCTGTTTGAATCGGATATGATGTTGTTCTTTTAAACTTGCATATTCTAAAATCAGCTAAATAAAATCAAGAAAAATATATACATTTTCTATGCTTTAGAGAAATTTGATATTGTCTTCTACTTTGTTTTAACATGCATAATCTAAGTATTCTCCATAATAATTTTGTCTTATAGGTGACCCACACGGTCAAGGATTTTGCGCTGAGTATGGCAGTTGTCCTGCAGAATATTATTTCTGTAATAACAAAGGCTACTATTATTATGACAGCTCACACTACGTAGACTGCCATGGCTACACAGGCTGTTGTCTTCCTTGTAAGTATTTTAACATAATTGCATTTTAGATACCGAAACTTCAATAGTTCTAGAGACTATTTACATTCAAATACTTTTAAAAGACGTTACATTTAACTATATGAAGGGCGCCTACAACTCGGTGAATTAAATTCACATAGAAGTTCTTGTAATAGAAAATTTGAAAACGAAAACATTAAACAGGTTAATGGGACATAAATTCGCCGAGTATTAATTGGTTTTGAAAACCATATACTGTGTTTTGATTGGTGTTTGAATAAAATTAGTGTTTGTTTCATTCTATCAAACTGATCTTTTAATAATATATGCTATAAACTTGCTGCAGAAAGTCATCAATTTATGTAGTGTAGTACATATATGGAAATAAAGTAGCCTTGAGGAACATGATAAAAATACAAGGATGGAAAATCGAAAAAACAGTATAAAGCAATAACAATAAACAAAGCTAAAGGATGTCTGTGAATCTAAAAGTAAATAACTGGTGAATGGCATTTACGAAATGTAAAGTTTTAAGAAAGGTGCAATTCATAGTATAATTTTTTTTATTATTGTTATTTCTATGTTTTTTTTATTAATTCTGCTGAACTCTCAAAAACAATTTTAGCTAAATTTCAAATACAAATAGTTGCTATAAAATGTTCAGAATTGATTGTGACAATCCTACATAAAATCTGTTTTCTTCTTCAGATTAGATATGGGGGTATGATTCTTCGATGAGAACCATTGAATTGAAACCAGTTTATGCTAATTATCTAGAATAAAAGTTTAGATCCTACACAATTTATTTTATCATGAACATATATAGCCACCAGAAAAATCTATATCGGTTTTTATTCGTTATTAGCATTCCTTACGAGAAAGGACCAGAGATGTTCATCGAATGCAGGCAATTCGATACGTTTGACTTTGATTTTCACACCACGTATTCAAGACCAGTTGCTGGTAAATTGTTCGTCAGCACACTAGGCACTGCAAAGAGGAAGATATTTAGCTTCTTTCTTTGTACCTGATACACAAAGTACATACAAGTCCTTATACATGAATATTCGGATTTGGAATTCTCTATAATCTGTCGTTATCATGGCATAGATGATTTTTGTTAAAAAAAACCTGTCGTTTACACATACTGGAGGTTTTCTGTGAAATATCTTCCATAATTACAAACCACTATTCCATCAGCAATCAGATATCAAAAGGGTGCTTTAGAATTACGTGAAGCAACCTACTGTAGCCAACATGTCACAAACGACCTTTTCTCATTCTTAAATATTTGCTGAAAGAATTGGTCCAACTTTGTGCCATTTTAGAATGAAATTTCAATACTAATATCTTGCTTTCCAAATGGACAGATCGTTCTTCTGTTTGTAAAACCACTCTGACTCTGAAAAAGAATGTCTAAACTGTCATAACTAAGGTTCTTGCTTCATTAACTGACAAAAGGGAACGAAATACCAAAGTGTCAATCAAATGTATAAGTAGCATAAAAGGGAGATAATACGGATCTCCATTGTGGAATGTTCAGTCGTTCCTGTTCTTGTTCACCAGTCAAAACTCGTTGAAAAAATATATACAAGGAAAATTCATCACACAATAGTAGCTACAGAAGTGGTATTTGACTTACATTTCTGGTTGCCTACTTGGTATTTTCCTATTTTTACTATTTTAGAATCAAAGATAAATGTGTGCATTTAAATTCTGAAACACATAACTGAATACTAAATTTTTAAAAGGTAACAATTTCCCGGACAAAAGATAGACAAGAACATTACCGAAAACACACTTACATAGTTAAAAAACTACACAAAAACCTCAAATAAATCGCAGAAATCTAACACAAAGCAACTGCCCTTAAAGATAAAAAGGAGTGACATCAGGTGCTCCGGAATGGTACGCAGTTTCTCTTACATTAATTGCACCTTTTGTTTTGCCTATTACAGACGAAAAACAAAATATTAAGTCGCAATCGGTTATGGAATAAAATGGAAGAAGAATGGGACATAGATTGTATGTACTCTAACCGGTCATTTTTTAATGAACCCGTCTGATTTAGGATAGTATTATCTATGGTTGATAAGTTTATTTCACAACGCTATAATCATTTATGCATTTTAAATGACAAGGACAATCGTCTGTATGTACGAGTTGTCTCTTCTGTTCTTCTGTTGAACGTTTCACTACCGCAAGTAAATTATTTCTTTCAACTGAAGCACTTTGTAATAATACTAACTGTTTTCTTAATTCTATAATCTCTTCCGTCTGACTTGAATTTTTGTTTTGTTCTGCTGAAAGTTTGTTTTGACACACGCTAATTCAAATTTCAGTTTACTAGTAAAGTCCAAACAACTTTTAAAGCGGAATCACGAAGATTGGCAAATGGAAAACTACCGGTCAATGACTTTGAATCTTAATATTCTTGTATGCGTCTCGAATCTCGCTCTTTTGTGATTTGGATTTTCATTTTATCTGCGGTACATCTTTGCACTTTTGAATTTCCTGACGAAGACAAAAGACACACATTCGGGAGTAATGTCCCATGTGATGACATTTAAAACATTGCTTACTTGCTGCAAAACAAAATGTTTGTCTATGCTGATTACCACATCTGGCGCACGCTGGAATCTGACGCATCTGGAAAAACCATGGTCTCCACTGCGGCCTGAAGTTGTATTCCATCGCTGCAACTCTGCTACTTGTATATGTACGTCTCTGGGGAACTGGTACTCGCTTGCTGCTTGAGGTATTAGGAAAGCGTGTTGAGCTAAAGAGTCAACACGATCCATACCTACCCGGGTACTCCACCAAATGTCACAAATGGAAACTGGGTGTATCTTGTGACTGGGTTATGTGTGTTGGCCTGCAACCACACACACATAATAGACAATAAGAAGAGTCTGCACCGACTCTGACTCTGGGACTAACTCTTGCAACAAATGACGACTCTGGTTTCCGCGATATATAATTTAATAGTTCAGCATGGAATACAATTGTACAGAGTTGGAAATGCTCAGTGTAATATTAAATCCATTCCTCATATCGAAATAATAAAACAGTTTGTATAACAAACCAAAAATTACTTGAAAAGACATGACAATTATTTCTCTAAATGAGTGACAAATACAAATATTGGATTATAGAAAAATAAGCACATACCTAATAATTAACAATAGATCATACAGACTTTTTTATCGAATTAAATAGATTCAAAAATACTAGGTAAGATTGAAGAAAATGCCGCTAATTGAAAAACAAATTGAAACATGCAATTAGCTTACATGTAACTTAGAAATTAGATTAATCTTCCAAACTTGACTTAAATCTTTCACGATAAAAATAACACAATCCCTTAGTGACATATTGCAAATATAAGAAACAGTGATTTTACTAAATCTTTTACAAAATATCCGAAAAGTCTCAAAATCAAATTTTGTCCATTTTTCCACTGTGACTTGTATCAAAGACCTCACAGCTTTAACCTATTCGTAAAGAGCAGAAACAATTTTATCACATTATTAGGCAAACTACTTGACATATTTGTCATGCTTAGTGGACGTATTTTTCAAAAGAGAATCAATTGTGGTCATCTTCTCACTGACGTCTTATTTGATTTGTTGACTTAAAGCAGGTTTCACAAATAGGCTTTAACGAAGAATGAAAAGAACCTAACAGCAGGCGCATTAATTTGACGTTCAGATATAAAGATAATACCCTCTTCCCTTTTGGTTATATAGCTTTTCACGCAAGCAGGTAATTTTACCTTGTACTTCATATATTTTATTCTTGTCTGAAATAACCATAAACCTAGAAGTAGGTCTAGATTAATCCTTCCATAAACACAAAAAGATAAGCCATTCAACAAACTAACGTACAATTTCTTTAAGTGTGGTTTTATGCACCTGTCCTTAGTCAGGAGCCTGTTGTTCAGTGGTTGACGTTTGTTGGTGTGGTTCATAAGGGTTTCTCGTTTTTTTTATATAGATTAGACCGTTGCTTTTCATGTTTGAATTGTTTTACACTAGTCTTTTTGGGGCCCTTTATAGCTTGCTGTTCGGTGTGAGCCAAGGCTCCGTGTTGAAGACCACACTTTGATCTTTAATTGTTTATCTCTTACACATTGTGACTTGGATGGATAAATGTCTCATTGGCACTCATACCACATCTTCTTATCTATATTAAATTGTATAGTTTTAAATGATAATTGTTTCATGTTACAAACCGATGTTGCATCTTTTTCATCTTTATCCCCCTGCTTGTGTATGTATGGATGATCCGTAAGTTATTACGAGATATATAATCGAATGCGACACTTATCATTGACTTTACCATGAGCAACACGTCTGGCGAGGCAAAAGATACCAAATTAAAAGGGACATTTAAACTCATAAGTCAAAATAAACTGACAGCGCCATGGCTAAAAAGAAAAAGACAAACAGACAAACAACAGTACACAAAAAAAACATGTAGAAAATGAAGACTGACCAACACAAACGTTATTAGGGGGGGGGGGGGGGGGGGGTGATCTCAGGTGTTCCGGAAGGGTAGCAGATCATGCTCCACATGTGGCACGCGTAGTGTTTCTCATGTAAGTACAAACTAGGTGATAAGTCTAATTCGATAGGGTACTTGCAGTTACTGAGATAGTTCAATGGCAATTTAACGATACACCATGTTTTCTCAATACAAGACTTAAATATCTATATGTAATCATCCAACTGATTTAGTTTTAAAAAATTCAATAAACATTCTGATAAAAGCATGCCTTTTTGAAATGAAACATATACGTATCAACATTATCATAACCTTTAAGAATACATTTATTCAAAGGAACAATAAACTCATCAAATATTCAAGGCTTGCAATAAGATTTCTAGCTGGTCGAGACAAACTTCCAATTCAAAACTATTTATTTATGAAATAATCAAGTAAAAGATTAAAGTAATTGGTGGTAACGAAATCCCTGACTTAATGATTTAACTATTATACCTCGATAACGTTCATTGAAATCTAAAACGTTACTAAAACACTGGCATAGCAAACATGTTTCGAAATATAAAGAGCGTTACACGGAGGCAAAAGATCATCATCGTTCAAAAAAAGTAATTTAACAATAGGGAACGAACAATTGTTTCTTTTTAAAAAAAAATAAAGAGTTCCTGTCGGAAACAGAAATATCAAATCAAGAAAACAACAATATTGCTTTATGTTTTAAATTTATATGAAGTCAGATCCCTTGTGTAAATTTCCGCAGTAAAATGTGAATACGGACAATTTTATTACATCTTTTTTCTATAAAATGGAATTAAGACGAATGTTATTCCATATAATGTGTTCCATAACAATACCGGGAGACATCCCCTATTAAAGGTATACAATCGGGGAAGACCCGCAAGCTGTCCATACACTATATTGCCGAAACGTACATATCGATATTACTCCATGGCTTTGTTCTTCAGTTAATAGTTGGGGCGTTATCGTCAGTTTGCATAGAATTCCACTCAAACCGCTGCTAGGGGTCGTCTTAAACGCGCATCTTACATATATCTCGATGTACCCCGTGTTGTCTAAATGTTTTATTCGTTTTTTGCACGCTTCAGTGTGATTGTCGCGCTAAATTATGACAGTAAGTGTTTGATTTATTTGCCAGATTTATTCTATAGATGTTATTCCGAGGCCTAGTTCTTCAATTCACAGTTGTTGAGTGATCGTCAGTTTGCAAAGAATACCGTTTAAACCAGTGTCTAGGGCCAACTTAAACTTGCAGTGAGGTGAGAGTTTTTG